CAGATACTGAAAAAATGCTGGCACCATAACTTTTTATGCATAAATTGTATCACCAGATAAGCTTGAACACTTACATTTTTTGAGTGAATAAAATGGTTGTATAGTTCTGACTGTAGAGGAGTCAATTTGCAGCAAACAACTTCCACTATCTGCAAAAAAAGCCAAAACTACTAATAAATCCAAATGCTAAGGAAAAAGTAATTTTCCAGAAATTATCTGAGAAAATATTTCAAGCAAACATAGGATAGGTTTCAACTTCAGCTGAAACAGAAATTATCAAAATGGCAATAAAATAGATGCAAAAGTTAATAACCCAATTTCTCAAACAAAACACACAAAATTATGCTGGGGTTGTACCTTCGGTGGTAGGTGATTTGACAACAGGGCATTGGTCCTTCTCAATATGAACTGCATTATATATTTTCAACCAAAACGTCAGAAATTGGAAAAAGAAAACAATATGTTTCGTGATCAAATGTTCTCTGAGGGAGTCATTATGATAATGTAATTACAAAGCCAAAAGAGCAGTCAATTAGTTGAGGGCTACCTTAGTCCAAATATTACCTGATTTACTTTGGCACTTAGTTCTGCAGAGCGCTCAACACCTAGGTTCCTCTCATCATCAGTGGCCGTTGGCTCCCTTCCAGATATTATTGGTGCCTTCAATACAATGCATTGGTTGTATACACGCAAAGTAATAAAAAAGATAAGATGAGACGGAGAAGAAAAATGTACTCATTATTCATTAACCAACACACAGAGATTAACTAGCGACCTGGTTAATGAACTTAAGAAATCAATCTATGTTCTTTCCTTTCCTGTGAAGGACGATGAATGATGAAACTATTCTATGCAATGAATCAGTATTGATTTATCCAAGGGTCACAAGGTCTTGCCTCATGCAAAACTGCTTCAGTGGCTAGTTCACATTCAGTATTAACGTAAGTTCCACTATGCCACATTGGCACCGGTTAATGAGTAAATGGTCCATTAAAGTGTGCATCTATGATGAACGAGAAAATCCGTAAGCCAAGTCATTAAGTATATGATATTTGTTCCACTAAGTATTCATACTAAAAGATATAGCAGGAATATGATTCAGCTTTAAAATCATCTTACCTCATAATAACGACGAAAATATGCTGCATCCCCCAAGATCCCCGGATTAGTGAAATTAACCATTGCAAAAAACTCTTCCAGGTCATTCTGCACAGTCGTGACAAATACACAGAAAAGTTTAGTCATGACAAGTAAAAATTCAGGAAAGTATAATAAAAAATTTATGGAGTGCCTTTTACAATTCACCTGCATTGGTGTTCCTGATAATAGAATCCGACGCTTGCAGGAGAGAGCTGCCAATGCCTGTACAAATGTTCATAACATAGTTCAGGAGAGATGATTGAAGATGAAGACCTTCCAACAAGATAGACACATAAAAGAAAAGAACAATCTCATTTCTTACCCGATTAGTTAACGTCTGATCATTCTTCAGCCTGTGTGCCTCATCACATATCAGAAGGTCACAAGATCCTTCATGGTTAAATCTTGAAGAATGCAGCCGAAACGTCTCATATGAAACAATTAGGACCTGTGGAGAAGTGGCTATGCAGTTAATTGAGTAAATTTTACACTACACTTCAGATATTTTCATTCAAATTAGTCACCTGAGAAGAGCTGAAAGAATTTGCAAAAGTATTGATTCCAGATACAACGTCATCTCTGGTGCTTTCACATAGAGCAATGAGCTTAATTCTCTCTCCAAGCCACTTTTTTATCTCAGCTTCCCAATTACTCACAAGACTGGTAGGAGTGCAGATTATTGCTTTTTTAACCATTGGCTTCCCATCAAATCCTTGACAAAGAAGAGTATACAACAAAGTGATCGATTGCAGTGTTTTCCCTAAACTGCAAAATTATGACAGCATAACACCAATGCTTTAGAAAATGGATCAATTGCCAGTTCACAACTAGAGCTGTTAAGAAAAGAAATACCCACCCCATATCATCTGCGAGAATGCAACCATTAATGTTGGCAGCACTATTCAGTCCTGCAACACACTCAAACATGAACTGAACCCCTTCTCTGCACAGCAAGTCAACAACATTGACAATTCAGACAGTGAAAGCAGCATAAATAAACAAGCTCTAAATAGCCCTAAAATGATCGTTTATCTAGTCAAGTAACCATACAGTTCTGTCTAGAATAAAAAGAACTTAAAATCCTAAGGGATCTCTATGTTCTAGACATCAGAATTAGCTCTCCGTTGTTTCAAAACAGAAAGAGAAGTCAGCTCTCGGAGCTTTTTAGTAGGAACAATACCTTTGATGGGGCCGAAGGAATTGAACGAGCAGAGGATCCACCATTATTGGTGGCAAATCAATGGCTCCATCTTCGGGTTCTGGAGGCTGCCACAGGACTAAAGGTTCAATCCCTGGTGGCAAACTCATGGATTCCGCCTCAGTATCATTTTCAACACTCTCTGGCACACTGACTCTACTTATGTTAGGAATCGGCAAAGGTTTAGAAGAACCCCAGGGGACGAAACGTTTACGCGCCAAGAAACGGCGTCTAAGCTCTTCATTGCTACAATATCCACTCGAACAAGGAGGCTTAAAGGGTTGCCTACAAACGGCTGCCCCTTCCGTCACGGAAAGAACTCGAGGAAGCAACGACTGCCTTTTCACAACTAGGTTCCCCCTGTCGCATCATTATATGAGGTTTTGTTGGCTATTGAACTAAAATGGAAACGGAATCACAGAAATCATACCGTTTACTGCAAACACCAAACCCTAACTCCGGTTGTCCGGAACTTCAATTTTAAGATCGAATTCAGCTACGAGACTGAGAAACGTATAAGACTTACCTAACGAGAGAGTCCACATTCTTCGATTTCGTATCTACGTCGGGCAGCGCAGCTCGTTCTCCGCGTGGCTTCAGTACAAATTCCTCTCCCGGATGTTCTTCGCCGTCGCCGATATACTCGTCGCTTGAATCAGTTGGATCGGAGGTTGAGAGCTCCTCATCGTCGCTGTCATCGAAATCTGTTGATGTTTCTGTTGTCGCTTGATCTTCGTCTTTTCCTTCTTCTTTCATCGGAGACTGGCCTGGAGAGCTCAGTTTCTGAGTTCTGACTGCGAGAGCGGGGAGAATAAAGATTACAGACCAATTAGATTTTGGCGGGTTATTGATATTTGATTGAATCGGAAATTTTGTTGGCAAATACCATTATGAAACCCCAACTTTGAAAATGTGTGGTCATGGTAAAATGACAATTTTGTTCCAATTGAAAAACGGTATCATACTAACGATTCGACCAGAAAATCTTATATTAGAGACTAAATCGGTAGCCAATATAGAATGGTCGAACCAAAGTTAAACCACGATTTGAGTTAAAATACCATTTTGCTAACTTTTTCGATACAACCTCCCGTATAGTTTTACAATCGTTGTTCCAAACTATAAGTGTCCTGCAATGAGAGCAAAGGTAGACACCGACACACCTTATATTTATTTATTTCTTATTCATAGAAAACAATACATTAACCATGGTCTCAAAGACATGAATGATTACCAATTACACTAAACAAATTTGTTATATATTTCTAAATTAAAAAATTTTCGTAAGTATTAATTTGATATTTGGATTATTTTAATTCAAGTTTAATAGTTAATTTTAATTTTATCTATCTTATAAATAGAGGATAATTTTAAAATTGCAACCCAAATATCATAGATTCGAATATTTCATACTGAATTGTGGTATTGAATGTATAGAAGCAATGAAAAATTCTCAATTCAATATTAATATTTAGAATTACCATAAAGCAACGATATTTTTGTGCAAACTAAATTATAAATAGCGTTTTCTTACTCAAGGTATGCGGTACCCGGATTTCACCCTGGGTACCGTAGAACTCCCCATGGTGAAATCCGAGGTACCACATACCTTGAGTAAGAAAACGCTATCCAGAACTTACATTGACTAATCTTTCGGACATGATACTATACTCTAACCCTTCAAGATCAACATCTAGGTCATAATTCTCTAAATCTTATACCCCAAAATCAATTTAATTAGAAACAATAATCGACGGTTATGATTCATCCAAATATAGGCAAAAAAAAAAAAGCATCATCTTAAGGTTTATAGTTTATGATTTAGATAATTAGGACCTAGGGTTCACTCATTAATGGTTAGGGTATAGTATCATGCCCAAAAATCCTGCTAATTCGAGATCTAGATAGCGTTTTCATACTCAAGGTATGCGGTACCCCGGATTTCACCCGGGGTACCGTAGAAGGCACCATATATATATATACACGACTCGTATGCTCCAAATCTTTGCACCATTGATCTAATCTAGCGGCGTTTATTATTTCTATTAAAATTATTTATTTACCAACAATTATAATTACCAGTATCACCCTATAAATAATTATAAGTACCATATAATCCTTCAACAATGTTTACTTCTATATTTTGAATTCTAATACCATATTTCTAAGAGGCCTACTATTCAACACCCAAAAGTTATATAATGGATAATTGTTTGTCCATTAAAATTTCTTAGGAGGGATTAATCAATCAAAGTATCAAACGCCCTCATCGACTCGCATCATCAAAGGCAATCATCATATGCAAGCCACCTCCCCTGGTTAACATATTACTGCTACCCTAATTTCACCATCTTCATCAAGGGAACTCAGCTACCCATAATTACACAGTCATCATCAAGGGAATAAATTTGCCTGGACTGATTAATGAATCAAAGTTTCATCTATTCCTCTGGTAGCAGCTCCTGAAAGCAGTCTTAAAAAAAAAGCAAAACTTCACTGTCACCATGACATTGAAAGTCAATCGTCATCATCAAAAATAATTAATTCTTTGTTCTCCAAGTTCCTTGTTTCCTTGTCCCGATAAAAGAAGTAACTTGGTTGTCATTAGTGTTTTAACCCTAAGTCTCTCTATATAAGCTTAGCTACGAGATTGTCGTAAGCAAGTCGTCACAATGTAGTCCTATAATAAAATCGTCAGTCGTGAGCTCTTCCGAGCTCACCGTGGATTAGTCTCGATCAATCAATCGATCGAGGATATCACGTAAAATCTTGTGTTCCGTGTTATTTCGTATTTCCGCATCATCAAATTCTACTTGGTATCAGAGCTGTAGATTCACCTAGTCTTCCGCGCACCAACGATGTTCATCCCGCTGGCTTGTTTTGTTCATCAGTGATGTTATTCCACCGAGCATAGTCGACCTAGGCGAAGTCCATTCCGCCATGGTTCATCAATCGTCAATTGTTGGGGTTATTTGTCGTTGATCTCCCAGATCCGTCCAAAGGATCCCGGCTGTCCCGTCAAAGCCGTTCGCCGGCTCAATCATTCCGCCGTCAATACCCTCATATACGGCTGCAATCGTCAGGAGGGTCGATGTTCATTCTGGCTACCCACTCCGTCTTGATCGCGGCCATGAGTTCTAAGTTTCCTCGAGTGCGTCCATGTTTCCAATCAAGGTTTATTTTTCAGATCCATGTCCATGTCTTCGTCTACCAACATCATCGTCGCCGTTGTCGCCTAACCGCAGGTCTCTCTTCGGGTCGTCGTCGCATCCGGCAAAGTCCCTGATTTCAGTCAGATCCAGTTTTGTCCGACTCGATCTTCTCGTCCATGCCAGTACTCGCTTCCCCAATCTGCAACCACAGCGTTGAACCTACCAACTCCAATCAGACCAGTCATCGTCGGCAGTCTAGTCTCTGCCATCTACCCGTCGTCATCTACTGCCATCGCCCATCAGTGCCTGTGATATCCTCACAGTCGCCGCCCATGTCAGCGATTGTGGTGTCTTCCATCGTTACAAGCCAGCACCTGTCACTGCTGCAACTTCATCGGCGGCTCGTCACCAGCCGACCCTTTGCTCAAAGTCTCAGTCATCGTCACAATCAGGAGAGAGATTTAGCCCCATCATCGCCGGTCGCAAGCCCCTGTTCCGTCAGTCTGCTTCGTCCCCGTCACCAATAGCTGATCACTTCGTTGGGAAGCTTGGGAAACCAGTCGGTTGGAGTTCGTTGTGCCAATTGAGTTATATGGTCATGCCGCCATGGATCAGTTTTGGGAGACATGATGTCAATTCAGTTTGGACATTGGACATCCACGTCAATTTCATCAAGTCAAGGAGCTTTCCGCTGCTCCAAATTTGCTTCCCAGAAGTTTTGTGTCTCCCAGCTTCCACCCTCACCTCAATGCGCCAGGTTGATAGTTACATTCATCATCAACAATCAGGTTTTGTTTGAGGCAGCAGGTGGTTGTTAATTCACGTTGTACTGTTGATCTCAAGTTCTAAGGTTCAGCTTCAGTGGTTCTGATTTGTCATTCAACCCATGTCGTTCTCATCCAAGTCACAAAGCTGCCTATCAAAGGAAGTCAAGCTTTGTGTGTTGCTGGAGAAATGAATTTCTTTTCCTAGGCTTGGTCAGGAACGTATGATTTTTCTCAAGGTACGAGGCATTCACGATTATAGAAGCAATCGTCCCCTCCGCATTCAGAATCGATTTACTTTGAGTCTTCACCATTCTAACTTTCAAGCTGGACACTCACGTCGTTCATGCTCCAGCTTGAGGGGGAGAATAGGGAATTATAGGTCGACTGGTTAAGTCATCAAGTCGACGGTATCTATCTATCAATCAAGTTGCATGGAGAAGCACAGTCAGTAGTGAAGGTAGAAGTCTCCAAAGTCAGCAACACAGTTATCAGTCTTTTGTCTCATCCAAGACGTCAAGGAATTCCGCCATGCTGAGTTCATTGTCAAAGAACTGGGTCAAGCATGGAGTAGGATCAGTCTCATCCACGACGTCAAGGAGTTTCGCCAATGCTGAGTTCACTGTCAAAGAATTGGGTCAAGCATGGAGTAGTTTCGTCATTTGTCTACCTCTCCCACAAGTGAACAAAGTCACAGCCTGTTGGATCGTCATTGCGAACAAGAGGTTGTTTGAGTGTTGTCAGTTTCAAGCTCGACATTTCGTCGTTCATGTCTTCGCTTGAGGGGGAGTGTTGAGGACATTAATTATTTAGTAAAAAATAATTAATTCCTTGTTCTCCAAGTTCCTTGTTTCCTTGTCCCGGTAAAAGAAGTAACTTGGTTGTCATTAGGGTTTTAACCCTAAGTCTCTCTATATAAGCTTAGCTACGAGATTGTCGTAAGCAAGCCGTCACAATGTAGTCCCATAATAAAATCGTCAGTCGTGAGCTCTTCCGAGCTCACCGTGGATTAGTCTCGATCAATCAATCGATCGAAAATACCACGTAAAATCTTGTGTTCCGTGTTATTTCGTATTTCCGCATCATCAAATTCTACAATTGGAGAGGGAAGAGGATTATTCCGCCGATTCTTCAGAAGCTAGCAATCTCGTGGCCGGAGTTCAGATTCGAAACAGAGAAACTGTAGGGGAGATAGTGGCAAAGAAGAAGCACGATGGGCAATTTCGAGTTCCTAGCTAAATTACAAAACGTCGGCATTTCTAACTAAACGATGCCGTTACAAAACAGTGGGCCAGTATCGGAGCGGTCCTTTCACCTTTGCCACGGGAATGATCGTGTTCCTAGCTAAATCAATTGCGTTCCTGGACCAGCAAAGCAAAAGCAGCGTTGAGCTTTGATTTTATAGCTTTAGCTTAAAGAATCTGCCTGTTTCAGCGTCTCCCAGTAAAGACTAAAGAGCATTGAGTTCCTTCGCTCACTGCCTTGACTGGGGATTTTCTAAACTTATTAGTTAATTACACCTTAAATGCATAGCAAACAAAGGAGAAAAAAACTCCACACACAAAATAATATGTAAAAAAGGCTACGCCATTTGATTCATAAGCAAATCAATATACTTGATTTGACGTGTAGGACAATCTCCATATTAGTTTAGTTGCAATAGTTAATTTGGGAGGCCAATTAATTAATAACTTGCGAGTACTTCAGCTGGAAAATTAGTGACGGTGACAACATTGCTTTAACTCGACAATTCACAGAGAAGGAAATTTGGGATGCTTTGAGATCAAGCGATGGGTCCAAGGCTCCGGGACCCGACGGGTTTACCTTTGAGTTTTATAAGAAATGTTGGATGTCTCTCAAGAAGGAGATCTTACCTGCTTTCTCTGATTCTACGGCTCGGGCTATCTGCCGCAGAGTATCACACACTCTTTCATATGCCTTTTGCCAAAGGTCGATGCTGTAGAGAGCATTGATGATTTGCGCCCGATCTGCCTGATGAGTAGTTTCATCAAGTTAGTGAGTAAAGTCCCGATGAGGCGCATGAGGGAGGTTTTGCCTAACGTGGTCTCGCGCCGCCAACATGCTTCAGTTTCCGGTAGACACATCTCAGAAGCCACGGTTCTGGCCAATGAATTAGTGGATAGCAGGCGGAAGAGTAGGAGGTCGGGGATAATGTTCAAATTGGATATCGAAAAGGCTTTTGACAATGTTAGTTGGAACTTTCTGTTTAATGTGCTTTCTCGTCTGGGTTTCCCTCAACAGTGGCAGCAATGGATCAGAGCCACTATGTGCTCTCCAATGACTTTGGTTCTTGTGAACGGCGAATCTCACGGTTACTTTAAACCAGAAAAGGGTCTCCGTCAAGGGGATCCTTTGTCCCCGGGTCTATTAGTGTTGGTTATGGATATTCTATCTTTTATGGTGAACAAGGTTAAAGAGTCCGGAGGCATCTCTGGCTTTTTCATGGACGAAGCTCAAGGTCGAGGGGAAGTGACTCATTTGTTGTTCGCTGACGACTCTCTCCTTTTATGCGATGCAACAGTCGATAAAGTCATCAACATCCTAGCCACCCTTGTCTGCTTCCAAGCCGTTACGTGGTTGAAAATCAATCTGAACAAATCCACTATGTTCACGGTGGGGGATGTGCACGAGCCCGAGTTTCTTGCTGGTATCTTCGGTTGCAAATGGAGCAATGATCCGACTAATTATCTCGGGCTTCCATTGGGAGGTCAGCCTAACGCAGTCTCCATTTGGAACCCTGTCATCTCGAAGTACCAAAATCGCCTGCAGGGTTGGAAGAGCAAACATCTTTCCTTTGGCGCCAGGTTAACTCTAAACTCTTCCACCCTCAACAGTCTATCGGTGTACCATTTTTCAACTCTCAAAGCGCCCAAGACTATGGTGGATCACATGGAAAAAATCCAGAAGCGTTTCCTGTGGAGTGGTTCGAGCGAAAAGAATAAATTTCAACTGGTTCGTTGGGAGATTTGTAAGGCCGACAAGAGGCATGGTGGTCTTGGTGTGGTTGACCTACAAATTTTTAACAGTGCTCTTTTGGGGAAGTGGATGTGGAGGTTTGCAACCGAAAGAGAGAGCTGGTGGCGTCAATTGATTGGTATCAAGTACCCCGATAAGTTCTCGGAATGGAGAACCAGCAGTGTTGTAAGCGGCTTCGGGAGCTCCGTGTGGGCCAACATCACCAAAGTTAGTGAGTCCTTTTGGAAGGGAGCTTGCATCGAGCCGGGGTCGGGTGCTAATGTCTCTCTATGGCACGATGTTTGGGTTCCTGGCGAATGTCTTGCTGATTCTTACCCCAGGATCTTGGCCGCTGCAGTAAATCCGGATGCGAAGATCTCTGAGGCTGTGACCCACAGCGGTGAGAATGTAAGTTTTAATATTCCGCTTTCCATTAATCTTCTTGGGGGGGGGGGCTAAAAGAGAGAGGATTAGGCTTCAGGAACTGTTGTTTGCTAACACCCAAAGAGTCACCAATAGCCCTTGTAGAGTGGTGTGGATGCCGAGTTCGAACAATTATTTTTCTGCCAATAACATGTACAGGTTCTGGGTGAGCAACCGGTTCACGGGATTTGAAGATTTTCCGTACAATTCAGTGTAGAAGAGCTTCATTCCGACGAAAGTTTGCGGCTTCATTTGGCTGGTTTGGCACAAGAAGATACTTAAACAGGACAATTTGAAGGCTCGGTGGTTCGCTTTAGCCAGCAGATGTGTTATGTGTTGCAGTTCCGAGGAGATTGTCAATCACATTTTCTTCGACTGCAGCTTCATTAAGGAGGTTTGGGAACAGGTTGCCCGCTCTAATGTGAATATCAGGCCTCCCGAGGGTGACATTGCTGGTGCGATCGCCAACTGGTCGGCGGAGAGTTCGGATGATCTCGCCAAGGGCATTTCGATGTGCGCCATTCATGCTGTTTGCTGGCTCGTTTGGAAGGAGAGAAACCAAAGCATATTCCAGCAGTGTTCTTGTTCGGCCTTTGCCATTTCCCAAAAGGTTCTGCGGGCTATATTGGAATGGGTTTTGGCTCACGACGTTGTGGACAAAGACAGAGTTATGCAGTGGCACGTCGCTTGGATTTCAAGGGGCAGCATGCCTCTCATTGGACATGTTAATGGGTAGGATTGAGTTTTCCTTTTTGGGGTTTTTGTTCAGTTTCCAACTCCTGCCGGCTGGTGTGGCTTTTCTTTTGGATTAGTGATCTTTGGCCTCTGTTGCATCCTCTGCTGCCTTGTTTTTTGTTCTTCATTTGTGGTTTTTTCTTTCGTTATTGTCAGAACTTGCAGCACTTTCCCACTTCTTGTGGAGTGCTTCTTTTGTTTCCCTTTCATTATTTATTCAAGTTCATCGCCATTATAAAAAAAATTAATAACTTGCACAATTGATTGAATCCAGAAATTGGCTCTTCGTTCCGATAATCATAATTAGCAAATCAGGATTAGGGTTAATTGCAACTACTACTGTCGAGGCCACATAATTTCTTTCCAATGGACTATAAAGGAGATTAAATAGCCAATGGAAGGAGGCAAGGAAATTAGGGAATTCCTACATTCCTTGAAGTAAGGTAACATGATTGTTTTATCTGCTATAGCAGATTTCATAGGTTGCATTACGTAATACATAATAGGCATTACATAATGATTATGTAATGTATGTGTATCTTACGTAACAGTTGTAAGATCTCATTATGAAAGCCTTATGTAATGGAGAATTCTTTTACGTAATAAATAATTTAACTCGCATTACGTAAAGTGATAAGTCATTACAGAAGTCTTACGTAATGCTTCTAATTGAACTGTTACGTAAGAAATAACTATCATTACGGAAGCCTTACGTAATTGAGGCTTCTTTTACATAATGAATATTAATCTTGCATTACGTAAAGTGTTAAGGCATTACAGAAGCATTACGTAACGCTTCGAGTTTAACTGTTACGTAGGAAATAACTATCATTACGGAAGCCTTACATAATAGATGTGTATTTTATATAACAATTGTAACATGTCATTACGGAAGCCTTACGTAATTGAGGCTTCTGTTACATAATGAATATTAGCCTTGTGTTATGTAAAGTGTGAAGTCATTACGGCCCGGAAGCCTTTCGTAATTGGGGGTGCTTTTACGTAATGAACATTAACCTTGCGTTACGTAAAGTGTGAAGTGATCACGGAAGCCTTACGTAACGCTTTTGATTTAACTGTTACGTAAGAAATAATTGTCATTGTAGAAGCCTTACATAATGGATGTGTATTTTATGTAACAGTTGTAAAATGTCATAATGAAAGCCTGGCGTAATGAATGTGTATTCTACGTAATGGATGTTTATTTTACGTAACAGTTGTAAAAGTCATTATGAAAGACTTACGTAATGGACGATTCATAAGTAAATTATTTGTGATGGCAAGTCAAAATTAAATTATTTCTTACGTCCACAGTTCGTGAAAAAAAGGAATGAATAAGCTGTCTCTAAATAATTCGTCAACTTTTTTTTGTCATGAATAATTTCTTAAGTAATAATCGTTGTTCTGTAACCTTTATGTAATCAATTTTTATTTTACGTAACAGTTGTAAAATATTATCACGTATATTTTACGTAACGGAATTTTATTTTTCGTAATGAATATTAACATCGTGAAGTATTTAAATCATTACGAAAGTCTTACGCAATATTTTTTTATAAAATATCAACCAAAATTATAGAAAGATAAAATAAAAAAAGAAATTAAAATATATGCAATGGTAAAATCAAATTGGAGTTGCTAACTTAAAAAAGTAAAGGAGCCGGTAAGGTAAAAAAGATAAGAAATAAAAAAAAAGTATAAGGAAAGTAATACCCTCTCTCTAAAATTTTTCTCTGACTTCTCTCTAAAACCTACTTGCCCAGCCAGCCATGGGGCTGTCGTTGTTGCCCACCGGCAGACGGCGGCAGCCCTCCGACCCATCTTTCTTAGCTTGCGATAGTGTTTTCCTTTCC